CATGACGTATCTCATGGTATTTTTTATCGCCTTGCGCCTGATTGTGTTTGAAACTCGACACCAATAAAACAAACTTATGCGCTTAGATTCATGGGATACCTGAATGATCTTAAGGTGGTCTTTAGCTCAATGTGGGAGTACCTGGTGTAGCTGACGGTTCTCCGTAAGATTTGAACAGTTGAAGTGCGTCTGAAGGTTAACACCCGAGAGAAACGAGAGAAACGATATAATGAAAACATTCAGAGAAAAAAAACAGTGAAAGTGTTTCTAAAGATACGGAGTGTTTAGAAAAACCGTAAGTCTGATAAATTACAACAAAATTTAGCTGTTGTTTTACAAAACAGCGTTTAAGCCATCTTCAATTGAGCAGAAATTTTTATCTAGACATTTATTTTTGTGAACAGTGTCAAGAGGGCCCAAAGCTCATAGTGAAAAGACAGTTATTTAATTAAATAAACTCTCTCGCAGAGAATCCCTGAGGCTCACTGCTTGCGTAAAATCGCGGTTTGGGTTTGACCTCATGTAAATAAGCGGCCCGTAGACTCCAACACAGCCGCTGATATATTGTCTTAGCAACCGATATGCTGCCGTGATGACAAGTTTCATGAGACAAGCTCAATTAATATGAAAAGTAAGGAATATTACCATCGCCTGGCATATTGTCCAAACATGAATGATGCTTTGGTTTATTACACGGCTTGAAGGTGCCAGGTTTGTATTCCACCCAACTGGATTTAAGTCCTAGTTTTATCCAGGACTGGGAATGTTTAAGAACTTCTCTTCCATAACGACCTCTCGCGTACCAACCAGGACTGGCCACCGTGTTAATCCATCTATCTCTTATGTTTGCTTTGGTAAACGATGCAAGGTTTCGTAGCTCTGGTGGGGTTTGGTGCAAATTTGTTAAATTCCACAACCCCCCTATGCTCCACTTGTCACCACTATACCGGATCGATTAGGATTTTAATAACTGGGATCTGAAAATGTATCGGTTTTGACAGTTTTGCATGCGGTT